TATTTTAAATTAATTTCTTGCAAACATTACGTTCAGTATAGTTAAAAAGTACATCATAAAAAAAATATACAAATGTATTTTCAAATGCATATCAAAGATTTATATCTTCACACAAAGCAAGTAGTCAAAATGACTGTGTAAGTCATTACTTCACCTCTGACTCTTTCGTCTATTTATATTTCAACTTCACTTTTAATTTCAAAGTATGCATTATATCAAAAGACCACTCGTGTAACAAGTCTCTTATCTTCAGTCACAGAGCCTGTTGACTTCCTTGAAGTCCGTGTTGACAATCAAGCTTACGTTTCATCATTTGTGTATTTATACTTGAACATCATTCTTAATTCCAAGGTGGTCAAAAGACTGTGAACAAGTCTCTTACTTTCAATGACAGAGTCTGAATTCCTTGAAATCTGACCATCAAGGTAAAGAGCGTATTATGTTTGTAACTTGCTTATTTATACTTGAAACTCAAGTGTGCAATACTACCTTCAGTGGGTTAGGGAATTTGGGGAATTTGGGATTTGGGGAATTTGGGATTTGGGAAATTTGGGATTTGGGAAATTTGGGATTTGGGAAATTTGGGATTTGGGAAATTTGGGATTTGGGAAATTTGGGATTTGGGAAATTTGGGATTTGGGAAATTTGGGATTTGGGAAATTTGGGATTTGGGAAATTTGGGATTTGGGAAATTTGGGATTTGGGAAATTTGGGATTTGGGAAATTTGGGATTTGGGAAATTTGGGATTTGGGAAATTTGGGATTTGGGAAATTTGGGATTTGGGAAATTTGGGATTTGGGAAATTTGGGATTTGGGAAATTTGGGATTTGGGGAATTTGGGGGGAATTTGGGATTTGGGGAATTTGGGATTTGGGGAATTTGGGATTTGGGGAATTTGGGATTTGGGGAATTTGGGATTTGGGGAATTTGGGATTTGGGGAATTTGGGATTTGGGGAATTTGGGATTTGGGGAATTTGGGATTTGGGGAATTTGGGATTTGGGGAATTTGGGATTTGGGGAATTTGGGATTTGGGGAATTTGGGATTTGGGGAATTTGGGATTTGGGGAATTTGGGATTTGGGGAATTTGGGATTTGGGGAATTTGGGATTTAGGGATTTTGGGATTTGGAGAATTTGAGATTTGGGAAATTTGGGATTTGGGATTTGGGGAATTTGGGATTTGGGGAATTTGGAATCTGGGGATTTGGGATTTGGAGAATTTGGAAATTGGGGAATTTGGAATTTGGGGAATTTGGAATTTGGGGAATTTGGAATTTGGGGAATTTGGAATTTGGGGAATTTGGAATTTGGGGAATTTGGAATTTGGGGAATTTGGAATTTGGGGAATTTGGAATTTGGGGAATTTGGAATTTGGGGAATTTGGAATTTGGGGAATTTGGAATTTGGGGAATTTGGAATTTGGGAAAGTTGGAATTTGGGGAATTTGGAATTTGGGAAATTTGGAATTTGGGGAATTTGGAATTTGGGGAATTTGGAATTTGGGGAATTTGGAATTTGGGGAATTTGGAATTTGGGGAATTTGGAATTTGGGGAATTTGGAATTTGGGGAATTTGGAATTTGGGGAATTTGGAATTTGGGGAATTTGGAATTTGGGGAATTTGGAATTTGGGGAATTTGGAATTTGGGGAATTTGGAATTTGGGGAATTTGGAATTTGGGGAATTTGGAATTTGGGGAATTTGGAATTTGGGGAATTTGGAATTTGGGGAATTTGGAATTTGGGGAATTTGGAATTTGGGGAATTTGGAATTTGGGGAATTTGGAATTTGGGGAATTTGGAATTTGGGGAATTTGGAATTTGGGGAATTTGGAATTTGGGGAGAATTTAGAATTTGGAGAATTTGGAATTTGGAGAATTTGGAATTTGGGGGATGGGGAATTTGGGGAATTTTGGAAATCCAGAAAATTTGGGGATTTGGGGAATTTGAAGATTTAGAGAATTTTAGAATTTGAGAACTTAGTGAATTTTAGGAATTGAGGATTTGACAAATTTGAGGATTTAGAGAATTTTAGGATTTGAGGAATTTGAAAGCAGTCGGATTTCGACACACACCGTTCCAATACCAAGGCATAAAAAATGAATTTCGAACGACACCGGAGGGTAAGACTCGAAACCTGGTTGCGTTTACTTTAGCAACGCGAAACACAGAAGTTACTCTTTGCGAGGATACGAGGGTTGAAGCCGCATCGAGGAAAATTCCACGGGGAGAACAGCTCAGACGGAAGACGAAAGATGGCTGGAAAAAGAGTGGAGGAACGTTGCCAGCGAGACATTTCTTCCTACTTAAATTTACACGAGCGAGCAGAGCAAAGAGGCTTTTCCATCCACCCCACCTTTTCGTACCTTTCACCCTTCCTCTATGTTTTTATCTCGCTCGCTCTGTTTGATACTCTTGGCTCATTCCGAGCGTGTCCTTCGAGAAAATTCTTCGTGAAAATATCGTCCGGGGTTATTTCGAACTGGGAACAGTGTAATTTGCGGTGGAGGGTCTCACGTGCCTGACCATGCGTTCGGTTCCTCTACTTGCAACGGTGATCTTCTCTACTTGCGCACCTGAGTTCGGGCGATGTTTTAGGGCAAATGGAGACTTCTTGGAAACCACAGGTTCCTGAAGGTTTTCAACCCTGTGCACTGGAAGATTTTTGCTCGGAGACAGTAACGTTAAAAATTAATAGTTGAAAAGTTTGATGAATTTGAAATTGTTATTGCTTTGTTATTAATTTCGACTTTTATCTCTGTCTACGTTTATAGATCACTATAGATTTAATTAAACAATATTTATTTCAAGATGCAAAATTAAATTGAAAGTTCAGTGTGTCACCTATGGGGCACAAAGAGTTACTCCACAGACCTTACGAAATTTTTGTAGACTACTAAAGTAACATAAAATGGCGGACATCTTGCAAATTTCAAAGATCGTCAGGTGCTACACTCACATGTAAAAAATCAACAAATATCTCCAAAATGGCTAAACCTCCATTTCCAAACGTACACTTTGTAGAAGTTCTTGAAAGATTTTGGAGAAAAAGGACTAACAACTATATGTTTTTCTTAGCACGAAAGGAGATCCAAAGAGTCACGCGGAGCCCGTAAGAGCCATATAGCAGATAATCGCAGAAAATGGCCGGTAGCAAATGGTCACAGATTAAGGGTAATAAAACACGTTTCAGAGGCTTTATAAGCGACACTCGTGACGAATGCAAGGCGAACACTCGTTGTTTTTTCCCCCTCGTCTGGATGATCGCATTGAAACTTAAGAGGCACGAAACCGTGAATACGTGACCCATAAAGCTAACCTTTTATTCGACTCAGCCAGAGGGAAAACGCGTTCGACATGCGGAGAGAACCGGCGAAACCAATACTTCCTGCTAAATGTCTAGCGAAAAAGAGAGAAAGGAGCAAAAAAAAACAGAGAACGGAGGGTGGGTCTATTTTTGCCCGCTGGGACCACGCTTCGATCTCTCCTGTTTTTCCTGCTCCTCCTTTCTGCTTCCCGACAATTTTGCTTCTCTTTTCTCTCCTTCTTTGTGATTCTAACCCCGGCAACTTATACGCGACAGCCGACCGGAGAGAACCAATTAAACCGAATTGCTCGATCGTGTTTGTCGTCCGGAACCAATGAAATATTCCCTTCCTCGGGAAACATATTCGGTACAAATTGGGCCTCATTAAACGATCATCGGTCTCCTCAGATTTTATTTTTCATCCTGCATCTGGTTAAATGGAGCGCGATATTTTCCTTTCCAAGGAATTTCATCGCACACCATTTTTCCTGATAAACACACGGTAATTCTTCAAATTGTTGTTTACCGAACATTTGTATGCTCTGCGCTGGCTCGATTGTTTCGATGCTAATATCAATTTATCGGGAATAATCTCATTGGAATACCGGGGATGCGAAGAATTCGCTGTCAAAGATATTTTTAATTTTTGCTCGGTGAATTTATTTTAATTAATTTGGAAGAAATATTCCGATCGATGTTGGTCTCTTTAACGCTTTATCTGATGGAAAAATTAAATAATAATTGGTAGATAATCTTATTTACATTTAATAATATTTGTGTATACATTATTGCATACTTTATTATTATTTCACGACTAAAAATGACCTGATTATTAAAATAAAATATGGGTTGAATATTTCGAATTTCAATTTTGTTCTCAATAATTACTCTTCCAAGATTTTTATATTAATTTTTGCACTTTCCATTTGAGTTATTTATTTAAATATCGAAATAAAATTGCAGATATTTGCGAAATTTGTATACATTGATTAATAAAGATAAAAGGAAAATATTCTTATTTGTTAACAAATAAAAACTCCGAACTAAAGTGAAAATCAACAGAACAATCCGAAATGGAATTCTTTTATTTGTTTGATATATGAAACCGAGCAAATTCAAAAGCTGAAAACTTGTCACGTTTTACACGATAAAAAAAAGAGGGTAAAAATTTTCAGATATTTCTATTTCGTTTAATAACCGAATAGATCGTGTAACGTTTTCTGGGAAAAAAGCAATTTTTCCCGAACTTCATAAGCAGCGCAGTTCGCTTTAACTCGGTATTTCAATATCGCTGAAAGTTGTCTTATCAAAGTCCAACTTTGCATCCCTTATTTCCTTATATTTCTTAATATTTCATCAGGGGAAATTCTGGTTCGTTAAGAAACGTTGAATCTGCATAAAAATTCTAATCGATAATGATCTTCCGGACGTACTATATCGATCGAATATTAGCTAAGCAGATAAGGTAGAACCTTGATAAAATTGCTGACAGCGAAAACTGAATTTTTATTTTGTACTACATTACTGTCAAGTTTCATAAATTTTTTAATTTAAATCAAACAATAAAGTTTTTCATTTTTACAATCTTCATCGAAAATGTCTCAAGTAGAAGATACAGTTTGAAGGTTCAATTTTAACCGCACAATAAAGCTGACAATTTCGTGAGAAATAATGGATTTTCCGCGCACTTACTTGGACTCGTCCTGATCCTCGTCATCGTCCTCGGAATCGAAGAAGGCGTCGTCGTCTTCTGTGTCGACCGAAGTTTCTGTTCTCATTCGTCGGTTTTGCTGAACCATTCGGGATTTTGGTATTATTATGTCTCTGAAAAATAAAGTCGTTCATTGAAAGTAGATTCTGTTTGAACTGCTCCACAAACTTTCGAACTTTGACGCAAATGGCGGGAAGTTAGACTACTTCAATTTCGATGTGAAAGGGTACAGTCAGAAATTGGAGACCTGAGGCGATATATGAATTTGGGAATCTGGGAACTTTTGAAGATTGGAGAAGTTGGGGATTTTGGAGCTGGAAATTTGGGGATGTGAAAATTAAAAATTTGGTGTTTGGAAATTTTTGGTGATTTGGGAATTTAGGGAATTTGGGATTTGGGGGATATGGGGGATTTGGGATTTGGGGGATTTGGGATTTGGGGGATTTGGGATTTGGGGGATTTGGGATTTGGGGGATTTGGGATTTGGGGGATTTGGGATTTGGGGGATTTGGGATTTGGGGGATTTGGGATTTGGGGGATTTGGGATTTGGGGGATTTGGGATTTGGGGGATTTGGGATTTGGGGGATTTGGGATTTGGGGGATTTGGGATTTGGGGGATTTGGGATTTGGGGGATTTGGGATTTGGGGGATTTGGGATTTGGGGGATTTGGGATTTGGGGGATTTGGGATTTGGGGGATTTGGGATTTGGGGGATTTGGGATTTGGGGGATTTGGGATTTGGGGGATTTGGGATTTGGGGGATTTGGGATTTGGGGGATTTGGGATTTGGGGGATTTGGGATTTGGGGGATTTGGGATTTGGGGGATTTGGGATTTGGGGGATTTGGGATTTGGGGGATTTGGGATTTGGGGGATGGGATTTGGGGGATTTGAGATTTGGGGGATTTGGGATTTGGGGGATGTGTGATTTGGGGAATTTGGGATTTGGGGGATGTGTGATTTGGGGAATTTGGGATTTGGGG